GGCTGTGTTGCCTTTCACAATGCCATTGTTTTGTGGAGCCTCCTGCAGAAACATACTTCACAAACTGACAAAATGCAGTTTTAGGCTCAATAGCTGTGCACTATCCCCACCTAGGGAGTTTCTGTCTGGTAGGGAAAAGCAGTTCCAGCATGGTTTGCAGCTGAGAATTCCAGCAAGAAGTATTGCTTTTATGGGGAAAGAATTAATAATCCAGAGCATTTCTTTTGCATTCCCTTAGTCCTTCTTAAGGTCTGAAGTGATTAATGATTAAGAGACTGAAAAGACAAGGACTTGAGCTGATGCTGCGAGAAGCAGAACAAACGACATGACAGAAATACACAAAAAGATAAGCTGCACAGAAAAGAACTTGAGGTTTCCTTCTTAATGTAAAGCCTCAGTGACCTTTTAAAGAGTGGCTTTCACAAGACATCTTTTGAGTCTTGAGTTTAAGAGGATTCAAAAGAGATTACAAGTGGACATATCAAGCAACAATATATACAATTTTCAGTTTAAGATTTGAAAAGGGATATCATGGACCTGGTTTGGAGACTCAGCCAACCTTCTGTCAACAGAAATAATACCCAACTTGTTACTGACAAACTGCCTGTCTCAGGATCTTCTGCCTTTTCATGGAAAGCATTTGAAGCAACCAGGCAGAGACATATTCAGAACTCGATTATTCACACAGCAATTCCCAAGTGCTGTAAGAGCAAACAAAAACCAAGAGCAGCTGCTTCTTCCTAGACAGTGGTTGGTTATTGTGCCTAAGCTACTTGGTAATTGTGCGTAAGCACGTTCTGCTTTACTGCAACTGATCTGCAACTTGATCGCTTCAGCTCATATTGAAAAAACAAGAAAAGAAAAACCCTCACCCTGTTTCCTTTGGTGTCGGGGTGCCAAAGCAACACTGGGAAATGGCTAGTTTGTGAAGCTGCGTATTCCTGTGCAACACCCTCTTTCACACATGTGCTACTCAGTAGCAACACTAATGTCTGAGACTGGAATTAAAATGGGAAGCTTGTATTTGTAAAGTGAGTTGAAAGTAGGTATAAATCTGGGTAATAAAATGCATCACAGTGCTATTCTAAGAATGGTTTAGTTCCTACTGAGACTCTCTAAAGCACCCAACCTACAATAAAAACTTACATTATCTGAACATGGGTTGCAGGGAAGCACTGGCTCAGTCCATATCCTGGAAAACAGCTCGCTGCTGCTTCTTGCCCTGTCAGAAAGCTCTTACCTCTCCTCTTCAGAGAAGCACTTAGTGACACTACTGACCACGCTACAGACTCAGCAAGTGGCTGAAGCACTCAGAGAGCATAGAAAGTATCTACAAACCCAGCTTTGTACTGGAACACGTCAGCAGCCAGGCTTTCTGCTGGAGCTGGCACCAATCCCCCTTGGTAACATTATCAAACCATGAGACCCGGTTGTGGATCGCTATCTCACATCCCTGCTCTGGCGATGAAAGGAACAAATTCACAGACGGTTGGATTTGTGCCTGTAAAATCAAAGCTGAAACTAGCAGTAGTGTTTTTGCTTTGTCACCCTTTAGACATTCAGAAGCAGCCAAAGATTGATGGCTGGTTCAATTTCCCCAGTGTTTTCACTGGAATTTCATCCAGCTGGAGAAAGCCTCCACTCTTCTGAGAGCAGGAGATGCTCTCCTGGGGACACTGCAGGTACTCAGCTCTCACTAAAACAAGTTGTTACCTAAACACTCAGACAACCACTAGAAAATCCCGTCCCTTATTTAAACATGTAACATTTAAGAAGTTCACCATCCACCTCCGTCACCGATGCAGCATCTACAATTCCTGCCCTATCTTCACGCTGAATCCCAGTGAAATCCATGGAGCTGGACTTCTCACTTCTCCAGCAAGTCAGGCCTGTGGCAGGGCCTGTCGATGGTACAGATAAGCTAACACTGGCACCCCGGGTTGGTGTGTATGTGCAGAGGTTGGCTTCCTCATTATCCACCCTGGAGTTCAACCTGGAGCCTGAAACCACACCCAGCACACACGGATCGGGGTGAGCAGCAGCTGTGAAACAGGGCTGAGTGCTGCTCCTCTCTGCGACTGGTATGGGTTAAACTTGGATCTCTCACCTCGTAGTAGGGACTATGGAACAAACTATCTCACAGACAAGAGGAGAGAAGCCAGTTGCAATAGCCAAGGTTGTGCGAGACCTATTCCTCAGTACTCAGGTTTCACTTCCTTTGCCCAAATGGATGTTATATACTGAATTCTGTAAAACAGTTTGAGAAACCCAAAGGATGTGTAAGGAACCCCCAACCCCACTCGGCTCCAGAGTAGGACACCCTAAACTGAGCCATGCCAGACCGCAGGAAAGGAAAACTTTTGCTGATAAATTTGCATCATGCAGGAAGTTGCTAGTGGAAAATGGAAATTGTAATGATCAGTAAGAAAAATAAGAGACTTGAGGGGAAACAATGCCAGTATCATCCTTGTTAGCAAAGTCGGGTTTTTTTTTACATCCAAAAGCATTACATTCAAAGCAGTTTTATTCAAAGAGGATCTACTTACTAATGAAGCCTCCTTGAAACAAGTCATCCCCATAACTTTTTTTTTTAAACACTCTTCCTAGGAAACATTTTAAATATGTTTTAAGTGCCTACGTTTTTTGAATTTCTACTCAGAGTTTTCAAACATTCTCCCCCCCCCGGCAATGAACAACCCAAACAAACCCCTGTTTCTCCCACTACTAAGGGCCTTGCCCCTCTCACAGGCACCCTCAGAAGGAGCGCGGAACCGCCCAGCCCAGCTCCTCGGAACGCTCCCAGGTCCCAGCCCGGCCGCTCCGCGGTACCTCGGCCCCTCCTTCCCCTGGGTCTGCCACCGACACGCTCTCCGCCTCCACCGGGCGGGCTAACGCACCGAGCCAAGCTCTCCGAAGCACGGGAACTGTTACACTGAGGCACCGCCAACTTCGAGGCGTCGCGCTGCTGGAAGTCCCGGAGCCCAGCCGCCGTCCCCGCTGATCCCGCGGCAGGAAACGCGCCGAGCCGGGACCCAGCCGCCCGCTCCGCTCCTGCGCCGGGCTGACAGCCTCGGGGCACCGCGCCCGCCTCCCCCCGCCGCCTTCCCTCAGCCCAACCGCGGCAGCCGGAGGATCTCGAAGGGATCCTCTCTCCAACCCGGCCCTACCTGATGCCGGCGCTCGCGGGATAGAAGCAGCTGCCGGGAGCGGGGGCGGGCCGGGCGGGGCCGGGCGGGTCAGGGCAGGGCCGGGCAGCCTCGGGGGCGGACCACGGCGCGTCCCCGCCCTGCTGCGGGCCGCCAGGGGGCGCGACTGCCGGTACCGGCCCGGAGCGGCCCCGGGTCGAAGCGAGGAGCGGCCCCGGTACCGGCCGTGAGCTGCCCAGGCCCCCGGCCACCATTGTGTTGTACGCGTGTCACCCCGGCCTCCCCCGGCTCCTGCGGCCTCCCCGCTGCGCCGGGGCGGATGGAGGGAGAGTTGTTCCTTCCTTCCCTTTCTCACACACAGTGGGCAGCTCAGACAGTGCCGGGAGGTGACAAGGCGCCATCCTGCTGCCCGGATGGGGAAACATCCCGCCAGGCAAATCTGGGGTTCCTGTACCCCTCATCTCCTTCCAGGCTGGCTGCCCCGTGCCTCCCTCTGTTCCCAGAGGAACAAGGAGCGCGTTGAGCCGGCCGGACAAAGCATCCCTTCATTGCCGTGCCCTGGGAGGCTCAGTGGCTGCCCCCGCTCCAGTGGGGCAGTGGTGCTGGTTCTCAAAACTGGGAGACAAAGCGGGAGGTGGAGGCACAGTAAGCGCTGTGAGGCCATGGCTGTCACCTCATGAGCGGCCCCCACAGGGCCACCCAAAGCCCTGGCTGAGTGATTTTGGCTGTGAGCACCCACAAGGCCAATGCCTGTTTGCAGGGCTGGTGTAGGATGATGGCGGCTTGTCTCTGAAATCCAGTTCATAGACCACCAGAATGGTTTGTGTTGGAAGGGCCCTGAAAACTCCTCCAGTTCCAACCCCCTGCCATGGACAAGGACACCTTCCACTAGAGCAGGTTGCTCCAAGCCCCATCCAACCTGGCCTTGAGCACTGCCAGGGATGGGGCAGCCACAGCTTCTCTGGGCACCCGGTGTCAGCACCTCAGCACCCTCACAGGGAAGGACTCACTGACAAGATCAGAGGTATGGTCATGTTGTCATATCACGCAGGAAAACCCCACAACAGCCTTCAAAAGGCTGATAATACTATTTCGCAGACACTTCTACTGCTGTAACAGTATTTTGCTTGGTGCTAAGATATAAGCTGCTCACTAAATGACACATACAAGCTTGAACACAGCATTGAGGATTAACATAAAGAACTGAACCAGACGTAAGAGTTGAAACATGATTTCCAAAATAAGCCAGATAAAGCCAATACAGCTCAGCTTTATCTCCAGTCAGGATAAGAGGAATCATGCTGAGCACTGACCCCAGCACCTGGTGTCACACATTTCCATTTTGTGCTCCCATTCCCTGCCATCAGTGAAATGCAAAATTAACAGAGAGAATCGGGGTGATCTGCATCTTCTTACACCCCAAATACAGTTGGCACAAATTTTCTTATTAATCACTTTAATTTGAAGCTTTGACATGTGCCAGTGAAAACATCATTTGGGATGACCTATTTGACAGAGACGAAGACTTAAAAGAAACGATAGTAAAAAAAGATAAAGGAACTAAAAAAACCCAACACAATTGACCACAGTGACATTTCTACAGACACCACAAACTGAAATGATGAGATATGAAAGAAGAACTTAGCAACTCAAAACAGAAATAAAGACCAATTAGTCACTTCAGACCAATCCAGTGTTACGTGATCAGCTCTCACAGGAGTGTATTTCAAAACAGTTCCTGAAAAATACCATGCTTCTGCTTTCTGTGTTTGCCTGCCTGAACTGGAACAAGGCCATAAGAAGAAGTTGGGGTTCAGGGGAAGAGGACAAACCAACCCTGAGCAAACATACCTTCTTTAGCTGCCTTTTTACTGACTGTGCTTCTGATGTGGAAGTTCAGGTTCTGACAGCGTGGTCACTGGTGCTGCTGGGTGACAGATTTTCCTCCTGTAAGTGGTTGTTTTCTGTAGCTGCACTTCAGGGGTCATTTCTGTTGTGATAAGGCTTCTGCTGCACTGTTCTATTTCCTGTAGGATATGCAAAGTTGTGTTAGTAATGGTGATACTGAGAACCTGCACTGTGACTTCACAGGAGCTGTTGTGGCTGCAGATAAGGAACTAGTGACACATTATTTGACATTTCCTTGTCAGCCACACAGAGCATTCCCCAGTTTTTCATGCATACAGAACAGTGGAAGGCCAACTACTGCTGTGATTTCCAGTAGGAATATGAAGTGCAAAAGTCTTGCAAAAAAACCCTAGTTGTTTAGCGTGTTTCAAAGCCGCTTGTTGCAAAGGACTCACTGAGTGTGTCTCTTAGCACAGCTATAAAGCAGATATTAGTTGCATTCTGCTTCTAAAGCTTGTAATGTGCTTTCTTCATTCTTCATTGTCCCTTGGCGTTTGGGCTTAGTGATGCTAAAGGAGGTGTCTTGCCCAAGTTGGGAGGTTAAAGCCAGCATTCTACTGTTGTCCTCAGTAAAAAGAAAGTGTTTTGAATAAGAAGTGACTGTAACTTTCTGTACCTTTCAATCCCACTTTCTTCACAAATGCTGACATGTAATTTTATCATTATTTAAAAAGTATTTTACAAGGATGCATTCTAAAACAGGGAAGCAGATATTATAGATCACTGTATGTAATTTATGCCAAAAGAACAGACTCCTCAAACCTTCTATCAACTGTATTAACTCCAAGTCTTTACTTTTCCTGGGGTTTGTGGTAAAAAAGTAAATCCAAGAGCAAAGCTCATGTGACCAGAAAATTTGGCTGCTGTTCTTGCCAGAGACTTCAGAAAGAGACACGTAGAAAAGGCTTTTCAAGAGCAGGCTGATTTGACCTAGCAGAAATCCACAAGGAAGGGTGGGACGATAGACAGTATCCCATCTCTAGTAATTTGGTATTGTTACCAATTTAGTGGGCTTTAATTACTGTTGTTAGGTTCTGTCCAGATGTTTAGAATGAATAGGCTGAACTCAGCCTTTTCTCAATAACTGTTGTTGCAAAACTCCCGAAGGCTTTCAAGCACTCACAAGAATAAAAGAATCAGAGAAGAAATACAGATGCTATTACTTGGTCTTCTGTCTTGCTCACATCTTCTGTGGACTTTATAGGGATATTTGATAAAAGCATACAAATCAATTCAAAAGCAAGGCCTTTAAAGTGAAGCTGTTTGCCTTTTACCATACAAATTAATGCAGTTTTATATGTTTGAGATTTTCAGGTTAAAGACACCACTCTTACTCATAGTTGGGTAATGGCTTCTGGGTTTCTTTGTTGCAGATAAGAAATAGCAGTAATTATATTTCAAAACTGCTTTTCATTTCTGTTCAGGATTCAAATGTTCTTCACAACCCAAATGTCAGATTAAAGTGATTTTCAGAATTGTTGAGTAAAAAAGAAGATGGATCCATCTGAAGATGGATCTGGGGCCACTGGAGGTGGGAAGCGCTGCCCCATTAGTGTCACTGAGGAGACACCATGTTGTGCTTCCGTTGGGGAAGCGGTTCTGAGCAGGGTGACTAAACCCCATCGGAGAGCCAGCCACAGTGTGTGTCTGCAGAGTGAAAGGGCCAGGACTGCTTGGAATTCTCCCTGGAAAAGAAGAAATTTCCCAAATGAGGTGCTCATACCCTTTGCAGGCTGTTGTCCTATCGGGTGCCACAGGTCGCGGTGATGATTACCTGTCCTCTGGTCCATCTCAGCTAAAACCAGGGGAGGTCACACCATCTGACCAACTCTGCCAAGGCCGGGTCACAGAGAGAGAAGTAGCCAATGGATTTTTGTGTGATATTTTAACAATTTGGTTTTTTTAAATTATTTTTATTTTATTTAAATGTTGCAGTATTTGTGTTACAAGAATAGTATTTAAGGAAATGGAAATAGCAAGTGCTTAAAGGAACTGCATTTAAAGATAGTGAACCCGACTGTAACTGCATCAAAACAGATCATTTTCCGTTTAAAGACTCCCTCTTGTGGCAACCATTCTCAGTGGCTCGTTTTGACCTATTTTTCTAGTAAAAGTCACTGGTATAAGGTCTTGCAAAACTTGAAAATGGTTCTGTCATCTACTCTAAAGTTAGGACCCTGACAGTGACTGACAGCAGTTGTACAACCGTATTTTGTAACTTTCTACAGACTCCTTGCTATTTATTCCTCAGAGATTTATTTATTATGTCGATGGGAGAAAAAATCAAATTGTTTTTAATCTGTGCTTTTCACCCTGTGTCAGCGGCTTCTGCCCAGATGAGGTGGAGCTCAGCATCCAGCACCTCCCTGGTAGGGGCTGAGCAATATTTAGGGGGTGAGTGATTCTCAAGGCACTCCCTGCAGAAAGCAGAGGATTCCATGTGCAGGGCTACACTAAGAGAATGGAATTAGTAATGTCATAGTACTGGAGATGGAAAGATATTCCCATAGGGATGTTAATAATCTTTGGTGTGCTGCCTTATGGGAAGGTGCTGTCAATCTTGGACATTGATACACACAGAATTTGATGTTTTGCACAATGTGTGGGGCTGAAATAAAATCCTTATTGTCCTCCATTAGCCTGTTAGGAGAGGAAGTCACATTTTTTAGACTCAATGTATTTGGTCAGGAAGAGCCATTAGCTCTTTTCAGTCACTCTTAAGCCCTAATCAACTCTCAATTCTCCAACAAGTAGAATCCTTCCACTTGCTTTAATTGAAGCTCTTGGCTTGGGAGGCACTAAAGCTGACTAAAGCATCCTGTTCCTCCCCAAAAGCATAAATCATCGTTGGAAACGCGCTGTGTGGCTGCCCTCTAGCAGCTCCTGTGGTAATTCCTCTTTACAGAGATGTAATTACCTTTAACAGGTTTGTAGGCCCTAAAGCTTTCCAAAAAGAGAATCTCAAAGGAGTTTCAATTAAACACAATGTAAAATTGAAAATACGAACATGAATCTGCAATACCAAGCATGTGGATTTTGAGCATCTGGACTCATTGTTTCTATACTGTGTTCATGTCAGGAAAGTTTTGCTGTTGAGCTGAGAAGCTGGGTAAATTTATTGAGTTGGAAATATATAGAATCCTCCATAACGGTATTTTTACACATCTTACACTGTTTACACTCTTTTTTCATCTCCTGAACCACCGATTTATCCTTTTTTCTCCCATGAGCTGTGAGATTTGTGCAGCATCCTCCACTTTTAGGTCTTTCGTGTTTATACTATTTCAAAATCGTAAGTGGTTTAAAAAGCCTACTTAAAAACAAATTAAAGCCAAAATTAACAAACTGGTTAAAGAATTTCACAGGGCATTGTAAAAGACATCAGATATAACACAAATTTTACCGGGAACTGGGGATAGGAAGAGTTCTCTACAGCTCGTTACAGACTTTGGATATCAAACTATGTTGGAGCATGGATGCCCTGCATACCTGAACTTTGGCGGGATATTCCCGCTTGTGTTTTCCTCAGACATGGCGAGATCTTGCTGTTCAGAAGATACTGTCTTTGCAGGGATTCTGAGGCAGGACAGGAAACATGGATAACCTAGAGATTACCTAAACCCAGAAGCTGGAGGACAATTCTAACAGCTCGGAGGCAGCTGCAGGGGTGGTTTCCGAAGCGGGACACCGAGGTCCGATGCGATTTGCTGCCGATCCTTGCGGATCCGGGTCGCTTTTCCCTCAGGAGCAGCCGGGAACGGCGCGAACTCCCTCAGAGCACCCGCGGGCACGGGGCGGCACCGCCTCAGGGCGCGCGCGCCCCGCCCCGCCCCTCACGCCCGGCCACGCCCCTCACGTCGGCCGCGCCCCTCGTCGCGTAGAGGGCGGGGTGTCTCTGTGATTGGCTCCGCCGCGGCCTCTCGCGCCCACCTTTGTGCAGCCCCGGCGCCCGTCGAGAGTGGGAGGGGAAACCCCGTGCGAGGGGCGCCGCCATCTTGGGTAAGGGGGGTGATGGGGGCGCAGTGGAGCAGCGCCTGAGGGAGCCCCGGAGACCCGGCCCGGCCGCTGCCCAGCACGAAGCACTGAGCGCCGCAGTGCCCGCGGGCCGAACCGCGCTGCCGCCGACAGAGCCACGCTGCACAGCCACCCGCTGCCCGAGCACAGGTACGGGGGAGCCGGGGAGGGGCACCTCTCCGCCCGGCCGGGCCTGGAGCACTAGGCCCCGCGTCGCTGTCCGGTCAGCGGCGGGCCCCGGTCGGGCAGGCGCGCCGCCCATAGCGGCGGGAGGGGGTAAGCTCCCGGTCGCCTCCCGGCCCGGGGAGCGACGCTTCCTCCTGCTGCTGCCCGGAGCCGGGGCCTAGTCGGGGCCGCCCTCCCCGTAGGTGTGCCGCTGCCCGGCGCGGAGGGCGGTGCGGGCCGGTCGCCGGCTTTGGCGGGTCTGACCGCCCTCGGTCCGCTCCCGGCGGCGGGCAGGAAGGAGAAGGGGCCGCTGGGGCTAAGGGGGACGAAGCTGGCGGGGCAGGAGCTAGGCCGCTGCTGCACTGCTTGTCGCCACCGCCTTCTCTGCGCTGCACACTCCCTGTGACACGCCAGCGCCGAGTACTCATGCGGGGTGTATATATGTGTTATGTATGCGTGCTCCTTGCTAATTGTAATTGCCCGTAAGGTGTTTACTGTATGTACATACTACACTGTGTGTCATCTGTACTTGTGCTGACCAGCGCTGTCGTGAACTTGGACAGAAAAATAACTTCCATGAGGTCCGAGGGCAGTGCCACTTGTTATTCGGGAAAGCAGCTGAAGTATTCTGGATGTGTGGTTTGTTTTCTTTGGTCAGTGCTAATTCAGGCTAAACAGAAGACAAGTTCTGTTATTTAACCCAGTTGTGTGTTGCCTGTTTGCAGTAGGCTGTTAAGGTTTCAGTAACGTCCATGGATAGCTTTGTCTTGAGTGGAAATGGTGCTGAATTATCCTTGCTTAACCCTAACCCTGAAGGACTTAATACCTAAATATCATATAGTCTAATATGGATTAAAAAGGCGTTTGCTAGCTTCTTGTAGGGATTTGAAAATGCTACAAATCTGAATGGAAGGAAGAAGCTCCTGTTTTCCATGTTATAAATAACAAAAAGCTAATGTGAAGGACAGCAGTTTGAAAGCAGACCTGTTCTACTGGAGGTACTAGGATGTAAAATGTAAATAGGTGTTTTAAAATGACTTGTTTAATCCTGTGCATCCAATGGAACCTGCTCATGCTTGGGTCGCATCTTGCTGTGTCTTTCTGAGACAAAGGACATAAACCTTATTTAGTGTTGTTCTGCAGTGTGTTTGTGGCTTGTGCTCTCCAGGGTGAGGACTCCAGATAGTTATATCTTGTTCTGATTTGTTAGACTGACAACAAAGCTTCCTGGTTCTGTATATACTGTCCCTAAACTTACCTGGTATCTCTGGAATTTGATTGTCTTGCCACAAGTGCAGATGTGCTACAGGTTAGACCGTGTTATAGGAAGAGGAAGAGTAGGATAAATGAAGACATACAAAAGAATAAAGAACTATGCCTGAGAGAATGGACATGGGAGAAAGTGTTCTTGCTGATGGGGACAGGTGTGCAACACTTAATGAGCTGGGGTGTGGTGAGGGAGAAATGCACATCCAAATGCAGGAAGTTTAGGAAACAAAATGGAGGAACTGAATGGAGCAGGATGTGAAACTATTAAAGGCTCACCAACACAGCATGTGTATGGCTGGATAGCTGTTGAGGGAGATCAAAAAGCGATGATAGTATGATACATAGCCTTGATCTAAAAATACACAGAGTCAAAGTTCTCATATACGAAAGGAATTGAAGGCCTGTGAAGTCTTTAGAAATACTTAGTAGGCCTCAGGCTGAGTTAAGATGTTTTACATGATTAAAGAACATAGCAAATACATTTCTTCAAGAACAGCTTGAACAGGGCTCTGCGCAGCTGAGGCTGGTTAGGGAGAGCCTGGTGGCCTGCAGACCTCATCTGCTTTCACAGAAAGAGTAGCTGGGCATGGGAATAATGAGGAAATGCAAAGTGATGTTCAGCAGCAGATCACAAGAAGCTTGCTGGGTCGCTGCCTGATCAAAGATCAGTTCAGCAGCATTTACTGTCTTGGGCTAATTGTATGCTCTAATGAAATCCAAATGGGGAAAGCTAAAGATGATGACTCTAGAACAGAAGAATGAGTAAGGCACTGGCCAGCAACAAGTAATGTTGGCAGATGTGAGAGTATTGGGCTGCTAGCAGGCTGCTGATGTGAATCCTCAAGGATTGGTCTCAAAGGAGGGCTTTATAAATACAACCCTGCAAAAACACATAAAAAACATATGAGGAGGTTCTGGGGCCATCCTCTTAGAGAGGTCTGAGATGTTTGTATCTTCTGGAAGACCTAAATGGTGTATAGAATCACAGGACCACAATGAAACTTAATTGTAGTGGACCTCATAGCTTGCTGTGGACACCAGACTTGAGGGAATCCACTGCTCTGGTGTATCCATTGATAACAAACCTTTATTACCTTCCAGTTGGTGTGATCTTTATGGAAGACCACAGCTGAAGCAATTAGACTGTGTTTCTAGCCACCTCCTCTAGTTAGGTACCAGTCAGACCACATTGTTGTGTGTGTTTGACAAAGGTCTTCATCAGGGAATAGTGCAGTTATGAATTGAAACAATTCTGCCTCTGCCTGCTTCTTCGCCCCTTACTGATCTCTTCTCAGTGCTTGCTGTTCATTAACATCTAAATAAACATGGAGGGAAGAGGAGGATCATGCCCTGGGAAGGGGGAGAGCCACCTATTAATTGTGTGTTGAAATTCAGGAGCTGTTCTAAATAATAGTTCTTGGTTGCATACTCTGCCGCCTATACATAACTAATACGTTATTCCAAATGCAGAAACTAACAGCTCTTTAAAAGTTGTTTCAATTTATGAAAGGAATGATGTGATGGCATTATCTTTAATAGAAAGGACTCGGGCTTCAGCTGTGGGATCCCTTCCTGTTGCATGTCCTTGAGGAGTGACTGGAAGAACACCTGCCTGATGAAACACAAAGTGCCTCAGCCTGACTAAGCTGGTCCTCTGCCTGCTGAGTGAGATGTTTTTAAGGGGAACCTGTAACTGTCAGGCAGTCTGAAGCCAGTAGCTGTTTCCTGAGGTGGTATCTCTGTGGCCTGCCCAGTTGATGGTATTAACTACACAGTGTCTAACAAAACCTGTGCGTACAGGTTCTGGTCTCCTCTAGTAATAGTCCTGCTTCTTGCTGAGCATAAAGCTGGGACATTTCTCTATGCAAATGATACCAGTGAAGACTTAAAATCGACTGTGTCCTTGAGTTGAGCTGGAAAGAACTGCCCACGAAACTGTCTCATGAGAACTGGTGTGGATGTGGTATTTACAGTTACAGGGTTCTGATAAAGAACATTACAGCAGTGTGCTGAGAGCGACCTTATCTCAGCTTGTACGGATGTATGCTGATACTGGAAATAAGGCTGCAGCGAGATGTCAACATACCTGTGTAGTGCTTGTTGATTAGAGGAGTGCTAAGGTGTACTAGGGGAGTAGTAGGTGTACTGAGATCTCATTGAGGTCATCTTTAATTTCTTATAAATTAGAAAAGCCTCCAAGGAAGGAGTCAATACGTGGCAGATAGATTATGGTGGCACTGTTCACTGTAACATTTCCAGTCCAAACTGTAATGCAGAAATTAACTGTACATGCTTTGAAACTGGCAGAAATCTGTGTATGGTGAGGCACGATCCTCTGGCTAGTTGCCACCCTGAAATACTGCTCTAAGCTCTGGGGAGACATTACCTCTGTCTGAGAAGGGAGCCAAAACTTGTTCCAAGTTGGCGGACTTTCCTGGAAGATGGCAGGTAGACCAAGCTTCCAGACTCCTGCTTGCTGTTAACAGTAAATTCATGGTTGATTAACTTTAACTTTGTTGTGTTGTATAATGTCAGCAGTGGCCAAAGGTAAGTTATGTGTATTTATGTGCAAGTCAGTCCTGCAGTTCTTGGCCCTCCCAAGAGGGAAACCCCAGCCTCCCATATTGGGAATATTCAGATTCACACATCTGGAACAGAGCGCTGTGGGTGTAAAGCCGCCGATAGTGTGGATGGTGATGCTGTCAATGTATATTAGCTCCTTGCATTAACATGTAGCTAATATTTTTGTGTTGACTGAATCCTCTTGCGCACTGTTCTTGTCTGACTTCCTTCTGCAGTAAATGCTGAGGTTGTCAGGTTTCTGAGACTGAATTCTCCACATGGCTTCTGTGTTTAGCTTGCATTTCCCCTTCAACACAGAGTCCTTCCGGAGTATCAGTTTTATTCCAAAATCTGAGTACAGTTGGGATTCCTGCTAATCCTCATTGGAATTTTAGTGTTTAAAAGCTTGTTGGTTTGTGGTTGGGGGGGGGTTAAAGTCATCTGCTCTCCAGAAAAGATTCCTGACCTTTAGTAATAATTTACAAAGTGTTTCAAAATGTTTCCTGTAATGTGACCCTTGGAGTAAATGTAATCCCAAAGTGTTGCTTGATTTTTACAGTTTAACTCCAGAAATTGTGTTTAAACTGAGTATCTGTGCTGCCACAAGCTTGTGTCTCAGACCCAGTGACTAACCTGGGAGCTCTCTGGGACTTCAGAGAAGGTCTAGGCTCACATACAGGTTAATTTCTCTGTCAGTGCTGCTGTCAGTAAACTGTTTCTCTAAGCTGTGGCCAGTGTTATGTTAGGTTTGGCTGCACACAGTGGGCTGTGTGGT